ATGATCAGCATCGTGAATTTCCGCGTCATTTCTTCCATGTGCTGCGCCTTCTTAGTGAAGAAAGCGAGTGCTTGTCTCTAAAATACCGCACCGTTTTCTCGAATTTTGAGAGCAGGGCTATTCACATACCTCAACGTGATGTTTCTTTGCCCAGGCAATGATCCGCTTCTCCTGCTGAGCCATTGTCAATGATTTGTTGAAAAGGATTTTATAGTACTCGTCTCGAGCAGTCCGTCTGAGACCCTTCAGGAATGGTGGATGGAAAATCTCTTCCCATGCATGAGCCGCTGTAGCAGCAAAGAGGAGGAGTATAAGTAGTTTCATCCTGTAAGACTAGTTTTTATAATAGGATAATGTAGTGGGATTGAGGAAGAAAAGACGATTAAGCAAGAGGAAGGGTAGAGATTAGCGCTCAGAGGGTGAGTAAATAGCTAAAAATCCAGCGCAATCGCACCGGCTTGCCACCCCTTCATCCGCTTCCCTTATATTCCCGATATCGGTAATACGTGACATATAGAAACAATATCTATGGATTGGGTGACGTTACGCAAATGTAAGTTCTTTTGGAACCATTGTTCCTCGTATGGGGCATTGTTTTCATAAAATATGGACCAAAAATTGAAACTGCTGAGAATTGGTCATTTAAGCCGTTTTCTCGAAAAAAGCAAGGATATGGCAGGCTGTCCCCCCAACGGCTGAGCCTCTCGTAAAGTTGTACTGCCAACAGCGGCTCAGATCTGCCCCAGGCAGAGAAGCTGTAAAGATGTGCGACCTGAGCATCTGGCGTGCCCGGGTAGAACAGCGGTCGAGAAAGAAAGAAAGGATAAAAGAAAGACCACGAAAAATACATGGGTACAGCAGTCATCATCACTTCATTGTCCTCATTTCAGAAAGCCTTTTTAGGAACACTTGGAGGGGATTTGGAATCCTCCACACTTATTGGCTGACACCTCAGCTAACCTGTCGCAAACATAACAACATCGCTATAATAATGAAATAATATTATTTGCGACCTCCGGCAGGGATGGCCGAGTGGTTAAGAGGTTAGACTCATGTCTGCACCTCTGAAAAACCGCGAGTTCGATCCCTGCCGAGGCTCGAAACCATGCCCTTGCAAAAATTGCAAAAATGGTTCTAGTACCAGCGTCTGATGAATACCCCAGTCACACCAACCATGTCTAAAAGTTGTCGAAGAATCAGAGATAAGCATGGCGCACTCCGAACACAGGTTGGCCTGTGTTTCGCCAATATTCACTATTAACACGTATTGATCTTGGAAACTGTTTACCCCGAATGACGAACTGATTGATTCACCTGGTTTCCCTCCTTGCTGACGCATGGGTGACAAAGACAGGCAAAAACGTGCCGCTGATTATTTCATAACATATTTACATGTGGTCGTTTTGTGGATCTTCTTCCTTAGCAGTGTCCTCCGTGAGTGAAAGCCAGACTTTCTTTTTATACGCGCTTGATGGCTCTACCATGAGCATCGAAGCCATTTTTAGGAGCTCAAAGAAAACCATAGCTTGGTGCTCCAAATTCTCACTACGAATAGAAATAAGAGTGCACCAGGATAAATAGCAGAAGTTCTCTAAAAAGGATTAGCTATATCACCTCAAAGATTACAGAGACTTGTTCGGCTCTATGGTTCAGATTGTCTGTCATTGTAAAGAATTGGGGCCAAGATCGACTTATTTCATTCAACAAAGATTTTGCGTGATCGTTTTATAAGATTATAGGTGATGCCTGTTAACCTTTTGGGCCGAAAGGATGTCCCTTACGATTTTCAATGCACTGTATATGCCGTCATTATTGGTCGATTAACGATTAGAGGCGCACAGGCAACTCACCAGTATGACCAGAGAGGTTTCGATCTAATATGATGTCACTAACCGATATCATTTGACCCTTTGCAAATATTTGAAACCTTCATGCTCCGCAACGCTGAAACAATGGAAGAAGATCCACAAAACCGACCACATGTAATATGTTATGAAATAATCAGCGGCACGTTTTTGCCTGTCTTTGTCACCCATGCGTCAGCAAGGAGGGAAACCAGGTGAATCAATCAGTTCGTCATTCGGGGAAAACAGTTTCCAAGATCAATACGTGTTAATAGCGATTATTAGCGGAACACAGGCCAACCTGTTCAAAGTGCGCCATGTTATCTCTGCTTCTTCGACAACTTTTAGACATGGTTAGGTGTGACTGGGGTATGCATCAGACGCTGGTACAAGAACCATTTTTGCAATTTCTGGAGGGCATGGTTTCGAGCCTCGGCAGGGATCGAGCCCGCGGTTTTTCAGAGGTGCAGACAAGAGCCTAACCTCGTAAAAGATTGGCCATGCCTCGCCAAGTATCGGGTCGCAAAATAATGCGATGTTACGATATCATTATTATTTAGCTGATGTATCGCTTTTTAGCTCGCTGTAGTGCTTGCGACAGGTTAATGACGCGGGTGTCAGGCGACCGATTGTTGCCGAAGCGCAGTTCCGAAAGGTCCGTTCAAGTGTCTTACGGAAAAAGCCACTTTCTGGGAAATTGAGGACAATGAAGTGATGTGTAGGTGTCGTACCCCATAGTATTTTCGTGGTCTGTGCCTTTTATATCTTTCTTTCTTTCTCGACCTCATGTTCTAACAGGCCGGCCGATCTGGGGGTGCGCACCATCTTCTTACAGGTGGTCTACTGGTGGGATCAGCTCTGAGCCGCTGCCTTGGCGTTTTACTAACTTTTTTCAACAGAGAGGCTTCAGCCGCGGTTGGGAAGACCCAGAGGTGAGCGCATAATCTTATTTTTCGGACAGAAACGGACTCAATGACTCAATTTACCACAAGTTTCAATTTTATGGTGTCCATATTTTTATGAGAAACTTTGCATGTGCCCCATACGAGAACAATGGTTCCAAAAGAACTTACATTTGCGTAACGTCACCCAATCCATAGATATTGTTTCTATATGTCACGTATTACCGATATTCGGGATATATAAGGGAAGCGGGTGAAGGGGTGGCAAGCGGTGCATTGCGCTGGATTTTTAGCTATATACTCACCCTCTGAGCGCAAATCTCTACCCTTCTCTTGGACTTTATCGTCTTTTCTTCCTCAATCCCACTACGTTATCCTATTATAAAAACTAGTCTTGCAGGATGAAACTACTTATACTCCTCCTCTTTGCTGCTACAGCGGCTCATGCATGGGAAGAGATTTTCCATCCACCATTCCTGAAGGGTCTCAGACGGACTGCTCGAGACGAGTACTATAAAATCCTTTTCAACAAATCATTGACAATGGCTCAGCAGGAGAAGCGGATCATTGCCTGGGCAAAGAAACATCACGTTGAGGTATGTGAATAGCCCTGCTCTCAAAATTCGAGAAAACGGTGCGGTATTTTAGAGACAAGCACTCGCTTTCTTCACTAAGAAGGCGCAGCACATGGAAGAAATGACGCGGAAATTCACGATGCTGATCAATGAATTGCCAAAAGCTGTCGCACATCTGACCAAAATAATAGGGAACAAAAAACAGACGTTCCTAGAAATGATGAAGACCATACACGAGTTGAAGGCCAAAAATCCAGTGGTGAGAAGGCTTCTATGTTGAACTGTGGCTTTAGGCCACCACCAAAGATTAGGATTCTTTGATTTGCTTTGGCTAAAAATTAGAAAGCGATTCAACATTTTTCAGGTTTACAGAATTCTGAAGTTT